TCGTGATCGGAGCTCCGTTGAGCGTCATGCTGAAGTAGCATATCGCTGTGCGGACGCTCTTACCGGCTGCCCCGCCTTGAGGCTACCGCGCTATGCCGGAGCTACTCCTAGCCGTGGAGCAGGCAAATGCATCGCTACAGGCAACGGCGGGGCGCTTGGCACCATTGAAGATGGAGCTTGTTGCACCCGTGCTCAGAACTAGTTGCTGGTTCATTTCTGGGTGGCCGAGGGCCCGTGGGATCCGCTCTGGCGTTCATGCGCCGGATCCCGATACGGCTTGAGCAAACCCACGTAAAATACCGGGTATGTGCGCATCCGTTTGGGAAGGTTTAGCGTATACGCTTGGCCACAACCTTAAATGTTCCAATGAACCGTGGACGAAGCTTCGTCAAGAAGATAGCAGAGGCTGCATGCGTAGGCAGGTATTAGAGTTTAATAAAACCAGGTCTCCGACCTTAGAGCTTTTCAGTTTGCCTCTTCATTTTTCATCTGCATATTGTTTCTACAGGTCTTGGCTTTCAGCCATCGCATCGCGAGCGTGTCGTGGGACACTCAGTCTGGTAGACAAGAAGTCATCGACTTCTTGGCGGATGATGAGGGGGCTGATATCAGCTAGCCGTTCGGCTATTCCTCCCCCATCAAGCCCTGAGCCATGGGATGGCGGCGTCAGCGGGACGCGAGGGTGAACCAGCTCGTTCATGTAGAACGGCTTGTAGCCGGTAGATGAATCTTGGCCAACTTATAGTCCAAATCTTAGAATAGGTGTGCCGAATTAATACTAATGTTTATTCAGTTTTTATGTTTTCAACAAGACTAGCAGCAGTGTATCCATGCCATGCATACGTAGTGCGATAATTCGAGTCGGCGCCTCGTTGCGTAATTGATAATTCGAGCCAAAGCTTTTTTGAGAGAGCATCAACACATCAATTTTATTCGTACAATGGTATATATGTGAGCGGACTCGTTTTAAACGGTAACCAATCTTCTCACGTAGATTAATGCGGACTCCAAGAGTGAAGCCCTTTGTTAAGCAAGGTGCAGCAAATCGTTATCTGCCAAGTAAGTCAAGGCAGTCCCGCCACATAGTGGCTTCTTGTAACGTTGTAGCCACACCATAACCATACCATTATCATTAAAAGCGAGAGATTTAAGACTCGAGTAGTGGACATTAACCACTTGTGTAGAAAAGCACTCATTACCTCCGCAATACAATGGCTATAATCTAGCTACCTCTTTATGTTCGTGGCTTTATTTCATAAATCCACTTGCCGGAAACCATTTATTAACAATTTAGCGGCTCATTAAAGCAGCAATTCAAGAACTGTCGCACATTCTACTCAATGGTCTTGTGCTCGAGAGTTATCAGAGGACTAGGTTATTCGGTAGTTTTGAACAAAATATGTTGAATTAGCAAACTCCATCCAAACCAATGCTAAAGATCAGCGCATCTGAGAAGAAATACATCGTTGAGGGCGTCGCTGCCGACGTGCGCGCAGACGGACGCGATCGTCTATCATATCGTAACATTTCAATCGAGACATCGCTTCTCTCACAGTCCAACGGGTCTGCGCGGGCGTCAATAGAGGCGTCAGGCACCGATGTATTGGCCTCTGTGAAGCTCGAGGTAGCATCTCCGCTCCCTGAAGCTCCCAACGCGGGCATTGTTCAAGTCTGTGTATCATGCTGTCCATCCATTTCAGCTAAACTCTATGGTCGAGCTGTAGAGGAATTGAATGTCGAGTTGTCTCAACTCATGACGCGCTTATTATGCTCACATTCTAATGCTGAACTTGAAAAGTACTGCATCATCCCGGGCGAAAGCGTTTGGTCAATTAATATTGACGTCATGGTATTTGAATCGACAGGAAATGTACCAGATATCATTTCTATTGCTATCTACGCAGCGCTAAACGACACTGTCTTCCCGTCTGTGCGATTAGTGGGCGTCGAGAGCGAGGATAAAACCATTGAAGTGGATATGGATCCTGCTGCTGGCAAGCTCATGATGGCTCAGCATTGGCCCATTTGTGTGACATTGAGTAAAATTGGCGACTACTTTATCACGGATTCGATGCAGGAAGAAGAGTTATGCACGACAGCTCAGATGAGCGTAGCTGTAGACCCAGAAGGAAGTGTTTGTGGTGTTCAGAAGAGCGGTACTGGTGCTATTGAGCTAGAAGAAATGCAGCAGATGATTGACGAAGCTTGTGCACGATCGAAAGAACTATTTCATCTTTTACAGAACGCGCTGTCTGAGCAGAGAAATCGAGACATTAAAGCAGGACACAGAGTCGAGCGCGTTGGGTTTTTAGGATAAGCTAGCAACGATAGAATAAAGCTAGAAAAAGAAACCTTGTGGATACATCACCAGTCTTACGCTTAGTATTCTACTGTGGCTCCATTACTGCTATCAAAGGCTGCACCCATTTCGGACAAAAAATTCACCACACGAAGCAATCGACCTTGATAACGCTCAAGAATCTCAATATTAAGCGATCGATTGGAAAACCCCATCTCGTCCAGTTCATTCAATTGAGCTTGCCACTTCATCTCTTGATCAGCAGACTGTGCTACGGGCATGATCGGTTCCATAGCATGTATTGCAGGAGAAATAGTAGAGTTCATGCTTTCATCAAGCCGCTTTTCTAATATTTGTCGAGCTACTTTCCATGCGTCCGGTAGTTCGTTACAATCATCTGGTGTCTCCCCATCAGACTCTTCTATCTCATCAATGTCAGGCACGGATTCAACCACTCGCTCAACGAAAAGCGTTTCTTGACGAGTGTTCAATCCAAGCTCTTGCAACGACTTCTTTACAGACTCAAAACCAAAGACCCGACGAGGATATGTCGCTACCAGCTGAAAATGCCGTGCTTCATCGCCAGTAAGTGCTTCGACGAACTCAAACACGCTTTCAAGCTGCGACGAATGCAAAAACCGACGCGTATGTTGTCCATCCGGCATCCGCAACACCATCTTCACATGACACATCGCATCTGGAGCAGGCTCAAGCGCTAAACTTGCCATTTTGTTCATTTTCCATTGTTCTTTCTCGTGCTCTAACGCTAATTCACGTGCTTCTTCTTCTTTTCTTCGTAAATCAGCCTCTTTTTTCTTTTCTACTGCTTCACATGGAATTAAGTCCACCTCAAGATCAGTGTTTAGAATATTCACAGCTTGCTCAGGTTTAAGCTCAGCAACAAGCACTTCAAACGTCTCTCTTCCGTGTCGAACAAACAATACATCACCTTTCGTCAAAGTTGTGTGTGTTTTAAGTGAGCGCTCTAGAATATGCTTGAAATCAATTTGACGCTCACCAAATCCATTACCTCGTGGCTGCAAACTCGCAAACTTTCCTTTTTCAAGTCGCACAAAGCGTACGCGAATAGTATTTGGAAGTTGAGTAGTAGATATGAAGAGTGATGCAGCAACTTTAGGAGGAAGTCCCACAGTTCCTTCCTCTGCTGTAAATTCAAGTACTCCAGCATGTGTCTGCCTCTTGATACTCACCATGTCATCATTACTTTGTTCATCAAACGACAGCTCGAATGTAAAGACGCCAAGCTCAAGTGCATTCTGTGGATTCAATTGCTCTAGAGTCGATACAGGAAGCGTAATCTTGTCACCTTCATTTGTAGTAGGAACTGGTTTAAGTTGCTGTGAATACGTAATTCCGCCTGTCAGTCGCTGCTCTTCGAGTCTTAATTCCTCCTGACGCTCTAATTCTGCAATGCGTTCTATACGTTTCTGTTTCTGAAGCGTTTCTAACTCTTCCAGCGCCTTTGTAGCTGCTGTACGCTTACGTTTCTCCATTTCTGCTTTGCGTTTAGCCTGCTCGCGACGTTTCTTCTGCTCGAGATTCCACTTTGCATTGCGTGATATTAAGTCGAACTCCATTTGTGCTTTTTCGAGTATATTCAATTATGATAAGAAATAATTGATCATAAGAGTCGGTATACTAAATAAGGAGTAATTTTTATTTCTTACAAATTATGCTTCGTAATCTACTTTTAAATTTCGACTAATCTTTCACCTAATGATTCGTAATCACCTCGCGTCGTTTCGTGTACAAAGAGATACCATTCATGGAAATTGATCAAGATATCTCTCGTCGAAATAATCCACGCTGGCTACCATTACTGTTGGATGTGATCTTGGCTACCTCTTTTGTGCTACTGGATGTGCGTGATCTTTCGTTTAAATTGCAATGGATTGGACTAAACGACACGACAATTGAGACGATTTCTCTCCCAGCGTCGAATTTAGCTTCGTTACAACCGTCAGAACCATTTTTATACACAAATCAACACTTTCAGCGAGCTTCAGGGTGGAGTTCTTTTCTGGAAAAATGCGATTCATTGATTCATGTCATAACAGAAGAACAAACGAATGGCTTTCGCCATGTAATTGGGAAGAATTGTTCGATCGGTAGCTCAATTCGAGCCATTGATTTGTTTCTTACAAGTGAAATTCGTGCTGATTCCATGGCATGGATGGCATGTGAGCTTCTGTACAAACACCGCAAGCCACCTCTCTGTCATTCTACCATTGTAACCCAGTTTCAAGACCGCTACAACTTTATAAACAAGCTTTCATCCGAAAGTGTATTACTGACAGATGAAGTAACTAACGATCCACCTCACTTGAAATCTCGCGAAGTTTATGCTGCTATACCTGGAAGTAATGTGGAGACGAATTTGATTGAATTGCTTAATGTGATTAGCCACAGCGTGCCGATTTCTGCTGCAGTTTGCGTCAAAGGACTCGTCATCAATGGCATTGAATTGCAAAATTCATCCATTTTTGGATGTGGAAGTCCCAGCTTCTTCCAGAGTTTCTTCATCGATAGTGACACCTCCCGTATGGCATCACAATTTATGATAGACAAAGCCTGGTTAAAGGCCGAACGATTCGAAGTTATGGGCATGACATTTCTATTACGTGAGAATTGTATCAGCTCATCCACAATTCACGACTCAAATCATGACAATGGTCGACCAATTCTGGATGTCAAGTCACGGTGCAATGTATCTGCATCCGGATCATTATACATATTGATGATTCTAGTGGATCTAACTTTACTAGTGCTAAACATGTGTAGTCTTGCTCAAATCTCACGATTAATGCTCTGGCCTTTGTGGAAACCACTTATTGCTTCCGAATATCAATTTTCTTCTGTTTCGACTTCAAAATGCGGCTTTGAGGTCGAAGATTATTTCCAAACCCTACAAGTTGGTATGCTCCGGAGTTCGGTCGTTGTATGGCTCACAGTTATCTCTAGACTTTTGACATGGATATATATGATTCCCAGTGCTCACCTGTGGAGCGATGGTAACTTTAATGCTGGAACTGTACACGCATTGTTGACGTTGTTTCGAGTTTATGATTTAGTGACTATATGTGTCAATATTATCTGGGATACGATTGTGTCCATCAGCGAAGATAGCGCTTTGGCTTTCGTTCGACAAACATACATCACGCCGTTGGAAATAACGGCTATAAGCATCTTTATCGCAGTTGCCAGTGATTCTATGATAGGACCACTTTTTAATGAAGGTCCAGGGCGACAGCTGCTGATCGACAGGTCTTCTTTTGAAAGTGCTACTGCTTATTCAAACACGTTTTCGTCGCGCAAATATTCCTCAAAGACGCTGTTTGAGCTTTACTATCCACTAATGACCACGACTGGTATAAGCGTCCTGACTGTTGGATTTTTTATTGTTTCACGATTCTGCATTGGAAAACTTACGCAGCCTTCATGCTCAATGCATGATTCTGCAGATGCGATTCAGTCTGAAGCAAACAAAAATTTATCAGTGAAGTCTTTTCGTGCAAGAAGCAGTACTAAAATGTTAATGCATTCAGTCTCCCCTCTTCCAAGTCCCACTCGAAAATTGATTGTGGATTCTTCTATGCTATCCGCCTCAACATGGACTAACAAGGCTCACAATCACCGCCTTCCTGTCGAGGATATGCTTGATAATCCCATTCGCGCGCGCAGTTTAGTACGGTTTTCTCCGTCGCTCGAAATTATGAGTGGCGACCACCTCCATTCTCTACATCCTGCAATTTTCCTCAGAGCTGGAATCGTCTTGGTCGGAAAATCCATGGTCACACGTTATGGGTTTTCAAGTACAGTTCAATCACTTGTTTACGCACATGACCACACGTCAAAGAGTGAATCACAGCACATTGGAGCGAATGGTGCTATCCCCAATCTTCGATAGAATACAACGCGCAAATTAACGTGTTTTGGAAAGTTGTAGGTCCTAAGTCTCATCGCTTTAACGATTGATCGATTTAAATACTTTTCATGAATGTTATAAACACTTCCAGTAACAGTCGTGTGAGTAAGCAGAAATGATGTATGAGCCTCTTGACATATAGCCGCGTTCTAATACTCGTTGATGGATCTTAAGGCAATAGTATCGTTCTTTAAGGCATGTGCTCAGACAAAGTTAAAGAAGACGGTTGTTAACAAAGACTAAAGCTTGAAATTTTGTATATCATAAGTTGGCATTTAGATATGGAAGCGATTTTTTTTTTCACCTTCATAGCCCCCAGGATTCGAATAGTCGAAGCCGATAACAGGATTGCTAAAGTGCGAAAGACGCTTTAGAGCTAATTGTACACAGCTACGTGCTAGCTTAAACACTGAGATTAGGAATGCTGTAAAGCTGAGGATGCGACGGATCTTACAGTCCAGTCTTCCATCAATTTCTAAACCCTACAGAGTCCGGAAACATTATTTTTCTCAGTGATTAAATATGAATGACGATCAGATTCTTTGACACAGATTCGCCACCGCAAGTTCGGAGCCAGGATGAGTTGGAGGTGATCATCCCGAAGGCATGCTGAGAGTGATAGACGACTTTGGACGATGTGCGCAGCTATCTTGCTTGTTCACAATCACATCGTCTACTCGCACACAACCTCGTCCAACGCATCGTCGAGCTTCTCTGCATTGCAACTCGACTTCTGGCCGTAGCGCTCGTTCTACAAAGGTCTTGCTGAGCAATGTATCAGTCATTGGGTGTTTGATTCGTCCTCAAATTTATATCAAACGGTGCTGTCCACATTTTGAGGACAAAATGTGTATAATTACGAGACCGATTAGAGAAGAATAATAAAACTGTTGGAGCGTTAATAAGCGGGTGTGCTGATTCAAAGTCAATAAACATGCCCGCCAGAGATACGCCATAGAGACCACAAAATACAGTTGCACTATTTGGTTCAATTGGGACTCACTCTGTTGACTGCGATAACTAGTCCATCTCCTGAGGATGCAGCTCGCTGCCTCTTCTGTATCCGAAATCTGCGAGGCGACTAGAACGCTACCATTTTTAGCAATTTGGGCAATCCCATGTTCTGCACGGAAGCTATCGTAGCTTTGTGCTCGCGTCAAAAGCACTACGCTTTCTGGCAAAGGTAAATATCTATAATTTTCTCCTTATCAAACCATGGCTCGTGGTGTTCCAGCCGTACAATACTTAGGAGTAAGAATTCGGATCCAGAGCTGGGACAGGAGCCCTGTTTGCAAGACGCTTAGATACATATTCATACCTGGCATCCTCATTATATCAGTTATTGTCTGCTATTTTAAACAGTCGCGCGTCGAATGTGATTGCACGACGCCTTTAAATCTATCAGGACTTTCACAGCTTTACAGAGTCAATAACGTTGATGTTCTCCTATAAGTGTTGACTATCAACTTCACGATGTATAATACCACTTTGCACTTTTTCGTACGTTGCCCTACGTTTATTGGACCTTGATGGCTCCCCTTTAGGGGCTTATTGTCCACCCTTGTGAGAGAACCCGACTCTCATCCGGGAGTTAAGGGGGCAAACAAGGCATGACTAGAACATCCGCGGGCTCTGCGAAGCTTTTCAGCAGCTATCATCTCTCTCTCCCCTTTGAGCCCATCGCCGCCGGCGTGCTTGTAGAACCAGCATTCCCAGCACTCCAACGTGACCGTGCGGCATGAAGGATTCTCATTGAATGCGACGCTCATCGTTTTCTCAAAGAGGCCAGATAAACGCGTAAGGTCTCGGTGCGTGCCACTCTTACTATGAAAATGGTATCCGTTACAGCCGTCCGGAGAGAGTCAGACTCCATTACGGCTAAGAGTATTCTGATTAATAGACAAAATCCACCAGCTCCCGCCTCCCATGTCGGGTAGATAAGAGCTTTAAATGCACCCAAAATACCGGGTTACGCGGTGCAATCATTCCCGGCATCTGACGGAAATATTTCACATGAGTGCCCGTTCACGCGGGACTTAAAAATCTGAAGGTAGCATGCGCGGCTCCGTTTGTAGCAAGGCCAAATTCATGTCCATACCAACCTGCCTCATCCAGAAGTAAGATTTTCAGTCCCACCCCGCCTTAACAGCAGCAACTCCTTGTTGAGTACCCTTTGCTCTTCCACAGAGCACAGTTTAAGCATTCTTGAGTGTGTCTCGTAAGCGTATCATCAAAATGATGAAGAGCGACTACTGCATCTGGCTCTCTGGCCATCAGTTCCTTGATCCCGTCGGGACCATCGACAGACATTAGCGTATTTAGCTGTTTAATATTCAGCGTTATTGGCAAGCCAGCGATTACCCTGATTTCTTAAGTCACAGACATCCAAGTCGTATCAAGAAATAACATTATGTGAAGTTTTGAGCCGTGACAAAATATTTTGCCGTTTCTGTGCTCAGCCGGCATGTGTAGTGCGCGCCACTACCGAAGGATCAAAACAAAGAATGCAGACTGGCGTATACGGATCGCTTTTGAGAGGGTACTAAACGTCATTCGTTCCAACTGACAATATTGCAGGGTCTTACAAAAGTATGATTGTGCTCTGGTGAGAGAAAAAAAGGTTCTTTTGCGGCATCAACTTTCTGTGTCAAAAAATCGAGCAACAAGCAGCGAATTTTGCATGCATTTAATAAGGTCTAACCAACATTTCAATTAAAACCAGACTCTTCAAAAGAGACTATAGCAAGACAGCGTGTTTGATTACAGCTGGGTCTCTTTGAACAGAAAACGAGGTCTAAAGCAAAATTGAGCCTTAAAGCATTAGAATTGATTGCGCTAAGGTATATGCGCTTTGAACTCTCCGTACTCGCAAAATGAACAACTCTCTAACGACTCGTTTATGGGACCGACTACAATTGAATTTAATTGCAACAGGATTTCCGTGCAATTTGTATAGAAAAAGCTTTGACATACAAAGGTCGCGTTAGTGAGCGTACAGATTTGTGCGTTCCTTCCAGGAGCGAAATCAAGCGTCTAAAGTAACTATTACTGATAGTTTGCTCTGCTATTAATCTATGTATGTAGATTTAAGTCTATCAAGTCTTATTCTAAAAATACGCATTTTACTATATCAAGTAATAGAACGATGTGACTAACCATGTGCGCCCCGAAACCCTCCCATTCCTCTTTTTCGTACTTCTATAATCTCATAAAATACCAATACTCTGGTACTTGTAAATTATACACTTTATCACCAAAGTGCAGCGCGAATTAGCGCAATTTGGAAGCCACATCTATCTCGATGAGGAACTAGGAATAGTCCGAAATGCTTAGTAAGTATACTGCCAAAAGCTTTGAGCAAAGCTCGGGTGTCAGATGCGGTAGTGGATCGCTAAGGCAGAAAATAATCGTGTATCGCGGTCCCCAGAGTGCAATTATACCGAGACAGGGATCAAGCGACGATACGTCGTGGTCCCCATAGTGTACCTCGGATAGGACTTTAAACTGTATCTAAAAGCTCGCTGTGATCTTGTGTGCTTACACATCTGTTTGTGTGTTCGAAACAGTAGAGTGGGGGGGGGTCAGCTGTGCGTCGTGGTCAAAACCGGTGGAGACAAGCAAGGGTGACTGTGTACTGCAGTCTCCTGTCAGAGGCGGTATAGACGGGCAAAAGCAAATTGCAAGAGGGAAGAGAGAGGACCTGATGGTACGTATAGAGGTCAATCCTTGTTATGATACCGTCGACCATGTGACACGCCCACCGTGCGGACAGTAAAGCTCCAAAGGCTGGCAAACAGAAAATTCATACACTCGTGATTGGAGTGGCCAAGGCAGTCCGAGGATTTTTAAGAGTCCCGTCTTTGCCATCACAACGAGCTCTCTTTTAGCTAGAAGATTCACAGGGGGTAATCAAAGTATTGAAAACGGTGAGATCACGGAAATGGTGTGGTTAATACGAGATGAGGATCTCAGCTTCTCTGATCCATGAGAAGTGCATTATTCAAAACGCGGACTGAGAAATGAGTGCAAAAAAAAGTGAAATGTCCTCATGAAGTTAGTCGACTCTTAATTTCACGTTGACAACGCAGTGAGTCGAGACCCACCACGCTTTCAAGGAATGCATCATAAAATTGACTTGGATTTGGAACCAAATGCTGCATCACAAAATTATGACCTATATGAAGGTAACAAACAGTATGGAAAACATTGACATTTTTATTTGCTTGAAGCACGAATCGAGTTTGGTGATAATAAGTAAACATTTTCACTCGGAGTCAATACTCTTTGTCAGAAAGGCGGATGGCAAGTGGAGAATTGTGTATGCATATAATAATTAAGATGTATCCACGTTTGTTGCACGAACACCGATGCCTAAAAAATACTGCCCAGGGGCTATCTAACGCGCGAGCAATGCTAGACAGTTTATTGACGCAGCACCTCCAGCCTTAACGTGCATCCGGAAATACCTTTTATGACCGTGCGAGTTGTCCAGAGCACGGAAACAAGGGTGGAAACATTCATATTGAAAGGCTGCAATGTATGCTCGAGTATCGTATTAGTAATATCAAGCACATTACGCCGGTAATATAAACTATCACAAAGAGTAGGAAAATACTTGCAGATCACCATCTACTTAAATTGGCTACAACACTGTTGTTTATATTTGGTGCGGAGAAGACCAATTTTATACCATTTTGCACAGCAAATAGCGCCATTTGGGTTGTGTGCAAAATGAGTTTGCGACGCGGTTGCCGTACACTTTGCACAGAAAAAGCTTTGACTCTCAAAGTCTAAGTGCACAAATTTACCGTTATTTGTTCATTCCTTATGACTGCTTGGACTGGGGCACCCTAACGCTCAGCATGATGTCTTTATACAACACGTAATTATTGTGTTTTGTATGGTTTTTATTCTGAGAAGGGCCTATCGTGGTGGGCAGACACATTTCATAGCTGACCAGACAAGCTTAGACGTACAACTGTGAAGTATTTGCAAGCGGTCGTATACCTCAGTCGGTATACCACAATGCAGACGACGCTGCGGTTGAGGGTTCTAGCCCCCGTGTAACCATTGCTGAAAAAAGTATTCAAATGGTAGGCTTGCATTCACTGCGCATTTCCAAGATTCTAGCACGCCCACACACACTCTGGACTCACATCTGGACAAGTGCCAGCAATTCTTTAAAGATGAGTGAAACTTCATCGAAGACCCCTTTTACTTATTCGCGGTAAATTATATGATTTCTGGCTTGATTCGTTGTGGTTGACTCATTTTGGCTTTTGTCACATCGTGGTGATTCTCGAGCCAATTTTCCAGTTTCCTTTGCAATTTATTAACGGCATGAACAAAATCAAAGAAGTACTACGTCACGCGATTATGAAGTTCACTATCGATGATGACTGCCTCTTCGACTCGCTACACGTTTGCACCTTTCAGGCTTCATCCGTCAATGGGAGGGGGAACTGGCTTATTCTTTGTTTGTCTGAGCGTGAAGACTTACTTTATGTGTGATAATCGCTATCGCAACAGCCCACGCTATCTTTGCGCTAATGCGAGTACAATTAATACAGAGATAATCATTATCGCGTGGTATTAACTTACCACCCTTAACAACGGATTGATCATTAATATCTATGTTGACGCTTTCACGTCACTATATATCCCGTTCCAACAAAATGCTGGATCTTCGCAAATATCACCGCCGTCGTACCCCATCAAGCCCGTGCGATTCCAGAAGAAATTTTATGGACAGAATCTGCGCATGGAGCCACGTAAACTGGTCAAAGTAATCGGTTTCCCAAACAAGCTCAAATACTTGTCCCAAAGCTGCGAAAACGTCATCGTGATGTGCATCGACACCCCGAAGGACTCTGTATAATGGATCAACTCTAAGGACTAACACAGCACCTTTTCCGCCCATCACCACGACAGAGTAGATTGTGCTACAAGATTACGAGATTCAGGATACGGTTGGTTCGATTGAGGTTACCGATGAGCACAAGCTCATATCGGATACTAGTGTACTACCAGCCCAGTTTGTTCGTCAGGCAGACCGAGGAAGAGACGATCAGGTCACGCGGAGAAACAGCCAATAACCCACGCAAGCCGTACAAGTATGGAAGGTGTTGCATTCTTGGGCATAATAGAGCCACGTGTTGTCTTTCTCAGCCCTGATAGCGAAACGTAACGTGAAACAAAAATTCATATAAGATGCATAAAATTCATTTCGCTTAAGCTACTAAGTGTTTTGTGACTTGCTACCCGAGAACGTATGTGCCCAGGGATTAATCCCGTTTGACTCAGTCGAAGTGACTATTAACCACCGCTGTTATAGTGGCATACACCATTCTACTAGGGTGTACATCTCTTCTGGACGAACTTTAGCGTGTTCCTCCTCGAACTTCGACTTACCTAAGTTTGGCTACAGTTGGTAAAATACTGTGTAGTTTACACTGGATGAATTGATCACAAACGTGTCACAATTTTCAAAGTGTGTCATCTTCTGGAATATTTCCCAAAAAATATATATACCCAATTCTGGGTAGGCTGTATAACCGGTATAACCCTATACAAAAATGATGGAAGCCCTGCTACTTGACATGGATGGAGTGCTGGCCGAGGTTTCCCAGTCTTATCGTCAAGCCATCATCGATACTGCGCAACACTTTGGCGTCCAAGTTACGCATGAAACAATTGATCAGCTCAAATTGGCGGGTAATGCGAACAATGATTGGCAGCTGACACACCGCCTCATTCTCGATGGGCTCAGCTCCACGAATGCATCTCCTACTTTAGAAGCGGTCACCGCCCAATTTGAATCTCTTTACCAAGGAACTGACAGTACAAAGGGCCTTTGCGAGCTTGAGACGCTGCTGATACCGAAGGGATTACTCTATGAATTACAGCGTCGCTTGCCCAAAGGAATGGCTGTGGTCACAGGTCGACCTCGCAAAGACTGTGTCAAATTCTTGTCCACACACGGTATTGAAAATCTGTTTCCAGTACGAATTTGTATGGAAGACTGTCCACCCAAGCCATCGCCTGAACCGGTTTTATTAGCACTAAAAGCACTTAATGTAGATGCTCGACGTGCTGTTATGATTGGAGACACTGTGGACGATATCATTGCTGGGTACAAGGCTGGAACAGAAGTATACGGTGTGTTAACCCCGCAGACATATGCTCGATCAATTTTAGAGCAGAAACCTTCAAGTATGATCACTGCATTGAAAACAGTTGGAGCATCTGTGGTGTTGACACCAGGACTCGGTGAGCTACTGGACCTCATTCCACCGACTCAAGATAATGTTGAGGCAACATCTATAGCTGCAGTAAATGGTAGTAATCGAGAAGCCAGTGTTTCACGAAATACTAAAGAGACGTCGATCAGTATTAAGTTGGCGCTGGATGGTACAGGCAAGTCAAAGGTATGTGGTAAGATGCCAGAACTTCTTGAAATTTCCCTAACATTTACATGTAGATCAGTTCTGGAATTGGCTTTTTGGATCATATGCTCACAGCATTAGCAAAACACAGTCGTTTTGACTTGCAACTCGACTGTAAAGGTGACATTTGGATCGATGATCATCATACGACAGAAGATTGTGCGTTATTGCTAGGCGAAGCTTTTGATGTCGCACTTGGTGGTCGTGCTCAAATCGCTCGCTTTGGTTCTGCGTGCGTACCTTTGGATGAGGCTTTAGCTCGTGCTATTGTAGACATCTCGAGTCGTGCACATAGTGAAATTAACTTGCATTTGGTGCGTCCAAAGATTGGCAAGTTGTCATGTGAAATGATTACGCACTTCTTTGAGTCATTTGCTAGCGCTGCACGAATAACGTTACACATTGATGTTCTTCGTGGCCAAAACGATCATCACCGTGCTGAAGCATCTTTTAAGGCATTGGCTGTAGCACTACGCAATGCTGTGAAATACGACAACACTGCAGGAATTCCAAGTACGAAAGGCGTTTTAGCATAAAGACTACATTTTAGAATAAAATTGCATGAAATGCATTATTTTGTGATCTTTTAAGTAAATTGATAATAACTTAAGGCTTTTTATTCATCTAAAGATATGGCAGATCTTGTTGTCGAGGCAGGTGCCGACGGCTCGTTCGATTTAAATGCTGTTGACCAAGCAAAAACATTACGTGAAGAAGGAAATGAAGCATTTCAACGTAATGAATTTCAAAAAGCCAAAGATCTTTATACACGTGCAATTCAACTACACGATGTTGATCATTTGCTTTATGGAAATCGTTCAGCCGCATGTCATCAATTAAAAGAGTTTCAAGAAGCTCTTGATGATGCAAAGAAAGCAATTGAATTGTCATCTGATTGGATTAAAGGATATTTAAGAAAAGCAAAAGCATGCGAGGCATTGCACGATTATCCTAATGCAATTGCAGCATATGAACATGTTGAAAAGAATGCTTCGTCAAGTGAAGCAAAGAAAGCAAGAGATCGATTGATGATACTTCGACGATTTCTTGATGGAAAAAATGTATTAAAAAAAGGATTTTTAGCAGATAAAGGAATCTCCTCGATTTATTCCGAAAAAGAAGGTTTAGATCAAGAGATGACTCGACGATCGTGGAAATTAATGTTGAAAAAGCTGCTTGATGGTTGTAACAAGTGTGGAATTAATAGTCGAGGAGAACGTGTTGTGCTTGATGACGGTGTGTTTGCAAAATTGCTACAAGAAGACGAATTTCAGCGACTTATTTATCCTGGAATCCCAAAAGAACAGCTTGTGCACGCACCGAAGAATTTACAGCAATTGTTAGAAGATTCATGGTATGAAGAAGAATTACTTGCTTTAATGCCGAAAGTAGAAGCCAAAGCAGCGAGTGTATTGACAAATGTAAAGAAGAAAGGCGCTGATCAAGGTGATGTCATGGATTTAACAACAGAACGTTTGCTCATGCCTCAAGTGTTGCAAGAGGCATTTGGCAGAGAAGTATTAGCAATGGTACATCGTGTGAATTATCAAAAACACGTGACATTTGCAAATGACGCGCGATTACTCGCAGATCCGACATCAGACTTTGCTACTTGGGATCAATTAGATGAGGTCTTTTTGAAAGAATTATTCGAGGCACAGAGTAACGTGCAAGGAGTGGCAGTTATGAATGATTTCATGGGAATGGAGTGGACTACGTTACTGCTTAATGACGTCAAGCGAATGGCCAAAAGTGGATTGTTATTGTCGACAGCTCCCAATATCGACGCCATGCATATCTTGAGTCGGCAACAAACCAACATTGACGGTCCGATCGGAGCAAAACTTCGCTTTGTCGAGCATCAAGATTGCACGAAAGAGTATCCTGCTTTGACCGAATTGATTGAAAAGCTGCATGCTTTACCTTATGAAATCAATTTCAAGCGAGCCGAAAGAGCCAAATTATGTGCGCAATTCACCCATTGTACAGCCATTCACCAATTACCGTCAGGTCATCGTCAGCCTTTGCGCTTAGATTGTGGAACCGGTGACAAAGATAATGGATACAAACTCACGTGTATTTATTTTTTCAATCAAGCTGGAGCAAAACAAAAGCAGACGACACTAAAGTTGCAAACAAGTTTGGAGGAAAATGCTCCAGTGCGTCAAATTGATGCTTTGCCTGATCGTCTGGTTATGTTTTGGAGCCAAGTTGTTTTTAATGAAATTTCAAAGGTACCAGAAGGCGAAGATCTTTTTTATCTCACGTTTTGGATCCACGGGCAAAGCCTCGCATAACGCGAAATTAGCCATGAAATCAATTTCTCTGCTTCACTTTGACCAATGATCGTTCGTAGAATTTCATGACTATTTTGTGAATCTGCTCATCAAAAGCTTGTTCATAGACTTCGGACGACGAAAATGGATTCTACTATCTGATGTAACTTAATTGGTAAGGTATAAACTGCTGCGATAGTAAGAGTAGAACCAAAGACAAATTGTTCTTCGTTCCCGCGAAGCATATGCAGCGATTGTCGATGATTTTGGTGCAGATATGAGCCTAAATCGTCGTCATTACCCAAATAATGACAAGAACGTTTAAACTTTCGACCGCAATGATTTTAAAGCTGATTCAACTACAAGTCTAGATGCCCATTCTTTTGAATGACGGGGACTGTTGGTTCGATTTGAAGTCAGTGGAAACATCACCAAGCGGATCGATGGGCCCTTGCTGTTTTCGTCCATCGCGTGACTGACATGTTCAATTTCAAATAAGTGTCGAACCAACAATGAATCAGTGGATTTTTAAATGTAAGTACCTTAAGTGCAGGACTGTGTCGATGAGCAAGCGGTGGATGCATTTGGGCCCTTGTATAGGCAGATCCAGGACGGGAAATAAATGAGATCTGTATTTACAAATAAGTAATGGAGGTGAGCAATCGTACGACAACCACAGTCTTGTAGCATTACACTATCATTCTTTTCGCCCAATTGGCTTTGCTCAGGCTGCTCTTGAATTTTACGAATTATTCCTTTTGCTAACAGCTCCGACTTCTGGCTTTTGATGCATCCTTGGGCTGAAGAAACAATAAATAAACAAAATGAAGCACTAACGATAAAAGACATGATTTCTGTACCAGAAAAAAAGGGCCAAATAGCCTCTGAAATGCTCGCATAGTCCACTGCTCGTCGCCCTTCTGCGTCCATTAATTTAGGATCAGCTTGGTGAGCCAACAAAATCCGCACGACCTTTCCGTGTTCTTGAAATGAAGCAGCATGTAAAGCTGTCCAGCCTGTGCCTATTGCTGTTCGTCAATTCATGGAGATATTTGGATTTCAGCTAAATTCCTACCTTCGTTCTGAGCAGAAACATCAGCACCTTTGTCAAGTAAGTGCGTGACCATGACATCATTTCCCCACAAAGAAGCAGCGCATAGCGGTGTTGTACCATCTAACTTAGATCTTTCAAGTTAGTATTATACAGTGACAAGTTTCTTGTCGAACCTTTTCCAGGAGTATCGATTTGCAAGCCATTGTCTAATAGAAAATCTACCTAGTCATACGAATCACACCCCATTAAGAATCAATTTGCCCGAATTGCAATCAGTATTGATCGTGCCATTGCACACGAGCCATTCGCTGCTGCCTCTGCAAGATCAATGTGCGAGTGGATCACTCCTTCCCGTTCATCTTTGACCATTGTGAAGCTTTTAGTCTAAACAATTTGAAGAATGCTGAGGACAGAACCATGAAACCGATCGAGGCGCTTCACACAAAATAGACAGAATTAAAACGTTTAAAAACCATAGTAACAAGACGTTCTCTCCCTTATTTGCTTTTCGTCCGAAAAATACTTCGACATCTACCTTGCATTATATATTCGTAGTAGCAAATTTTCTTTTACATTTCAGAAGGCGTTACGATACTATGGAAAAGAATTAGTACATGCGATAGACCGAGAAGCTTAGAGCTCATCAACCCTTCGTGTGATCCTGATGAGCTGAGAAGAGAAGAGAAAAGAACAGAAGAGAAGAGAAGAAAAATTGACCAGATTTTTTGCTGATGCTGGTAAGTTGAAAACAAGTTTGTATAATCTGCTCTTCTCTTCAATTTCATTACATCAAGCTTATCTGGACTTGAAAGGATCTTTTCCGTTGCTGCTTATTTAAGAGTTTTCATGTGCATGACTTCCAAATTTTCAGATGACCAGCATTTTAGACCAGCCAATTAACAGGTCGCTGTGCACCCCTCGCGTTCTATCAGAAAGCGGCTATACTTGATGTAGGTAATGTGCGGGTACATGGTGGCAGAGCGCGGAGCCCTTGAGGAAAAAGCTGGTCATCCGCGCTAGGACCTCACCGCCGCAGCAACATCAAGTTCTTGGTAAACTCAACCTGCCCCAGTCGCTGCATAAGTGTACCCGCTGGTTGCAAGACCCTCTTGCACGTTTGTTCTTGTTAGTGTTCTCGCTTTTGACTCACTGCTGGGTCAGTAGACAAACTTTTTGACTTGCTTGTCCACTTCAGGAACCTATCTCCGGCTGCCTTGATCCAAAATCTTGGTCAGGGCCGAGTAGGTATTGCCGTGTAGTGAGATAATACATAGCGTCTTTCAACTGAGCTATTAAGGGTGTACGAACCAACCAGTTATGCAGCAATATTTATATTATGGGGCTACTCAAAACCTGACACTTTGATATACACTAACTATACGAAATATATATCGCATAGGTATCAAATCATGATAATTAAGCACTTGAGCACATAGTCGGTAGTACGAAGCTTGATCATAGCGTCTATGCCGCGCTTAATAACGCTATTTTACTCATAACACTAAAAATATTACGTTTTACATGTCGATGACCACATCGTTAGCTTATTTCGCTAAGCAATACATCACCTTTTTCCAAGCAAGCCTTCCACGTCCATCTACTACTTTCACAATAATGATTTGTCAGAAAGTGTAACCATTGCAAAGCATAAAATGACTGGAAAAGTCCAAGTTGGTTCCTCTTCGCTACAACGAGCGCCCACACAGCTGCTCCAGCTTCATAAAGTTAAATAAAATTCCGGCCAGGGCTCTGCACTAAAGCCTAGGGTGAGAGCGTAAAAAGTAGGACCCACGTAACACATATCATATAAAAAGCATTAGAGAATGCAAAAGAGGCCCATTTCTTTCATACTAAATTATTATCAAAAACGCCACGAAAGTTTGCAACGATATGTTTTGACCCAGGAGCGCAGCGCGGGATGAGCGACGAGGGTGCATCGTAGCCGATCTTGAGCTTGTTGCGTTGATGGAAGTCGCAAGCATGTCACAAGCACACAATTTGCTTGCGAAGCAGTTTTTGTCGTTTGGTCAGCAGATTTGGAAGAGCACTAAAGATACGATTATCGACATAGTCTTTGGATGATAAAATAATTCTTTAAGACCAGATTCACCGGCGTCAGAGGTGGAGCGACAATGTTTTCTAGCGAAACCTAAATTAGCAGGTTCAGTCACTACTTGAATTAACATCATTACTTACTGTGTGATCCTTGGCGACAACCGTTCAACATCCAGCATATTTCTAGTGGATCTTTGATGAGTCATGACCCGACCTCTGCTTAGTGGCAAACGCACATCAGACGCGGGCCTGGATTTGCGATTATTAGAAGCGATTCATTAGTTCATGAAAATAAGCGAGAATATTAGCAAGTGCTCTGAGCAACGATTAGTAGAAAGAAGCTGGAATGGACCGAAGTCTTAGTGAAATAGGTAAAGTTGCAACTGTATATTGCAATCTACAGAGTATATTTCTGATGAGACAATTAATCTTGGCTGCTAGTTGGTGACCTTAGAGATTGATTCTGGTACGACGGAAAAGGGTGCCTATGCGTCGCGGTCTTCAATTGGTGATCCCGTTGTGATAAGTCACAGCGGGTTGGTGCCACTGTTTCCTGTGTAAAAGCCGGCAAAACAAATACTAGGCGTGAGAATAAGGACAAGGAACTGAAGTAATTAAGGATGATCCATCCTTATCATGGACAAGGAACTGAAGTAATTAAGGATGATCCATCCTTATCATCGCGCAACGATGCTGCCAGGTCTCACTGCTTGTACGGCGACCATACCCGCCGTACAAGCAGTGAATATCCACGGGTTTGCGGCGAGAGCTTTGAATCATCATCAATCTAGTGACTGGGGTCGACATTCTTCCGTAATCCTTCCAATAGGGGTCTCGTTAAGCTTGTAGGGCCTTCCTTAGGGATGCTTGTAATGCCAAGGTTAATTCTGAATGAGTACGGATATTTTTTTTGTTGAGGACTCACGAGAGCACTGTCTGAATACTGGAACAAGTATGTCCAAGGATCAAGCGAACCACTTAGAGACTCACGCGCATGTAGCCTAATGATCTAAAAATGCGTCATGAAATTGACCCAGTAAAAAACAAAGTATTGCGCCGCACATAATGACTTTAATGTGACGTCGTCGAAGTTTTCTTCCGTTTCGAACGAAAAGCGAGCTCAGTAAGCGAGAGTATACGTTCCTACTCGGCACCGATCCTCTGTGTCCAAAAAATTGTGCAGCGGATAGTGGATGCGTATAATAAAGCTAGATTTAGCCACTTATTGGGCGCAGAATGTCAATCTATTAAGCATTCATGTTGAAAATGAGCATATTTTCGTTGAGCCTTGCGGATTGCTCTTGACCTGGCTAATAATCATCAGCGTCTACTCATAGGAGCCACTGATACCTCCATCACTGCGGCGAGAACTTAAGCAAAAATTGTGTGCAGATGACGCCGACATGGTTTATACTTCTGCTCGTCGTATTGAAAGATATCAAATACTGCTAGGCGCCACAGAAGGGGCGGTTTTGAACGATGTAAGGGATTGGCTCTATCAAATCCGGATTAACTACTTCATTTCGTCTGTGACGCTTCAATCTTTGTCATAGGCTATGCATTAGTTCAAACGGATTTCGGTGAGCATGATACACCGTCGAGCTTCATTCTCGCCAGCAAAAGCGGTGGAGAATAACTTCTTGTCTTGCGATGAGGCAGGCGTTAGTCAAGTGAAGGACACGCCTGCTTGGCGCTACACTTCGTGATCTATACCGATGTTTCCATGACTCTCGCAGAGAATGCTAGTGGCTATCTTATTGTTGAGCATACCTTCGAGGAAAGAGAGCAGTCTGGCCGGCTTGCTTTGGCTCCGAACAATCTTTTGTGCTGCCCGGACCATAAATTGTAGCAAATCAGGTTGGTCACGCCGCCAATCAATGAAGCGATACATAAGCAAAACGTCAAACGCACGATGTCTTGTATTGCTAAAAGCCTCGAGTAGCAAAGAGATTTTGTACTGAATGATGTTTCATTAAAGATTTTTCTGGTTTTTTACGTCGCTTTCTCAACCCTTTGTTTACTCTTAACTCAACGTTGTGACTCTTCATCGCAATGGTTTACAATATAGACTACCGCACGCGGCACATGATATCTCAGGGGGCCACCTTCATCGAAATAAGACAGAGCGCTATGTACTGGTGAAATCACATGTATAGGTGAGCAAGCACGTATCTGTGTACATGTAAACTGAGTCTGCGGGTAAAGATCTCGCCGTATGCGTCGACACTTTTGGCCAGGCTACCGATTGCGGCAGAATATTGACATTGCATTTATCTTTGGTCTTATCAAAGGCGCGTTTGGTAAAGCCGGATCGTAAATTTTGTGGACCGGTTGGGCAAGATTGCCCATTTCCATACCATCAGCGATATCGTGACCGTTGAGAATAAAGCCAAGCGTTTCTTTGACAAAATTTTACCAACGTGGCTTGCATGTTAAAGTTGTTCCAGATCGAGATCTGCATTTTAAAGCAAAACTTGGCAAACTTTGTTCACGGCACTAACTCAAGATAGGACATGTCAGCCGTATCTATTCACATATATATGGTTAGACAGAACGCATTATTTGCGTGGTGAGAGGCTAAGGCATGACAATATCAATCACTACTGCGCGTTATTTAGTGCTGTATATACCTCGACATCCTTTTCCCCCCCTTTTCTATAAATGGTTGAGTAACCCTTGCGTTCTTTTATCAAAGCTTCAAAGTGGCTCCGTGCAGCGAGGCTGTCGCAGCTCTTTGCTAAGAAGAAGCTAAGCTAAGGGTACCGACCTTACGTTCTATACTAGAAATAGTGTCAATGTAGCGGATCGCAATCCGCTATCTCCAAAATTACCCAAAACCTAGTGGTGAACTGACGGCCCAAGGAACCACAGAGCAGTTTTCAAGTGCTCGTTTCTCTCTCTCTTGGGCGATAGGACTGTTTGCGTAGGCTTTTGACGCTTTGTCACGGTGCAGTAAACATTACCCGATAAGCTTCAAGATAACATGGTTTGATAAGATTGTAGCATGGTGGTACGGGAAAACGGAAGAGTCCTTTCTACTGTATAGCATTTTTCACCTTAATTTTCGCATCAAGAAAATTACCAAAAGCTTTATTTTTTCGATTTAAGGGCATGGAATCATGGAAATAATGCAAAAGCCAGGAATTTATCAAACGTAACACAACGTATAATCACTTGCTAGAAAGCTGAGACGACATGATTCGACTACCGAGACTCAATGAATGATATCAAAACGTAGGCAGAACAATCGCAATTTTCTCATCTGGAGTCATTCGTTTCTGTGTCACATTCGTTAGCGACAATCCTTTTACCAAAGTGCCAGGTCTCATCATCTTCTCAATCGTAGCTACACGTTGTTTCAATATCTCATCTTTCGGATTTCTTTTATTCATACTAGAAATCGTAGGCCAAAGAGGCAGATCATTCATTTGAGTCGAAACATTCGACATATCGACTGGATACTTGTGAACCTTTTCCCAACACTTTTGACAAAAGACAGTAAAGCATGAGAAACACCATAAAACTGCGTTTTGTATCAAACAGAATGTACAGACAAGAACTTCATTATCATGCGCCACATTGACCTTCAAAGGTTCAGTAGAGACTTTAGTAGGTTTACTCAAGTGACTCTCAGACACGGAAGTCGATGATGATTCTAAGTTGAAACTTCGCAGCTCAAGAACATCCTTAGGTGATACAATCTGATGATTTTTAGTTCGAGACATCATGACCTCCAGATTATTCCTTTCACTATGTTTACAATCATGCCATGATTTGTGTAGTTGGACCTTACGACGAATATTTTTAACATGCGTATCTCGTGCATCTTCAGATGTTGTTAGCAAACGATGACAAGTAGAAATTTTCAAGTGACTTGTGACTGGTGTTTGATCTATTACTAAATCGCTTTGACTTTTGTCTTTCGTTTGAGCTGAATCAAGATTGTATGGTCTAGCCAATCGATCACTACCAAAAGCATACTCTTGCAATCGCGAAGACTTCATCGATCGCTTCGTTTTTGATCCAGATTCCTGTCTATCCACTACACCAATCGATACTGGATTGCAAGGCTTGTGAACGTCAATATCTCGCCGATTCTTCGAGTAAACACGTTCTTGATGTACTTCCGCGCAGTTTCGCGTGGTTATTTTGTTTCTAGTTTCCACTTTTTCCACACGAGTCTTGCTAGTTCCATTTGGTATCAACAATTCATTGATTTGCTCACATTCTACACCCTTAAGCTGTGATGTAACACGTGTACAATTCCTGCCATCAATTTTATACGCTCGCTCGTCATCTTCTATTAGTTCCATTCGTACAAGCTCATCAATGAAGGCTAAAAAAACATCAAAAGTTTCTTAAATAAAACTTCTATATTAAGAGAAAAAAGGCCTCACAGAAATTCAAAGCAATCACCGTGCGATGACGCAGCAAACTTTGCATTCACTTCCAAGGTCAAGTTTGTCATCAGTGGAGAATCTTCAAGTGAACTGGCGATTTCTTCAGCATCAGAATCTCAAAGTTCCGAAGCCGTCTCGATTACCATTCGTGAACCTTAAATCCTTTGATCAAAATGTGAGCAAACACTCAGAAAAGTCAAGCACAATCAATGATCTAACGGGTGAAACTCAACGTCAAGTGATGTTAGATCGAATTTTAGTTGACATGGAAGATTTAGCATTTCAAGACGAATCAAAAGATCAGTTAAAACAAGAGATTCAAACTAGTGAAATCGTTCATAAAGATCCAACTACATTCCGTTTGAATGAACCATCAATTCAAATCCGTGAGAAGGAAGAAACGACGTTGGATGCAGATGAAAAAAGTTTCGAGAATTCTTTGAAAAGAGTTCAAGATCATGAAAAATCAAAGATTTTATGGCAGAAAACAACAGGAGCAAAGGTTGCGACTGATATTCCTCATCAGCTACTGACATTGTCATTATCTGATGATTCACGACGTACAAGATCGTTAAATAAACTTCAAGCTACACAATTAGAAGAAATTTCTTTTCGTTTACCTCAAAAACGTTTGAAGTCAAACGTACGTACAACTTTTGAGCGTCCAAATGCATCCCCACGAAAAGTTAAGTATGGTGTTTGGTATGTCCCTCAATCAAAATGGTGGACACTTCACAAAACTGCACGACAACATCTTGCTACTCACTTACCAACATCAAATTTAAATCCTCAAAACGACTTACACTGCATTCGACGGAATAATTGTACGCATAAACCACAGCTTCCAAAAGCTGCACTCTCGCACCATCAAACTGTTCGACCAAGTATGAAAAAATGTAATCGTTTGATATCTTCAACCTCACATATGAATGGATACTATTCTTCTGCTCCGCTTGAAATGCAAGCAATTGGCATTGCCCAGTCGTACATTGGACGTGAGTATCGTGCATATATTGTAAGTACAGCTACAACAATGCCATCATATTTAAAGTAATTCAGTACTCTTTGGCACAAAACTCCGTCTTTTGTCAATTTCCTACTTTTTTTTTGTAACTAACCTCAAGTTTGAATAACTTAAAATTTATCTTTTTACTAATTTTGACCAATCTAAAAACCTAAAAAAACGGTAACACTCGAGAACCAGCGCACTGCTTGATTTCTCCTTCATGTACTCTCAAAATTAAACTTCTACCAATGTTCACGATGACATTCCATGCATAGAAATAGCGAGTCGGATTTATGACCAAATTCACACGGAAATGTAATCTTGCCACTTTGTAGCCATCGGAGAGTGAGAAAGTGTTTAAATTGAGTCAAGATATCGCGAAAAAATTCCAGTAAATTTGCACAAATATTCCCCGCAACAACGGGATAAGTAGTCAAATAAACTTGTAAAAAAGTGACAAGCTCACTGACCGACGCATCACGAATATCTTCGTCCGTGATAAAATTCGATACATTTTGTACAAATGCAACTGCTAATGGCCACGACAATTCCAATCGTGTTTTTACAAGATGTTGCATTTGTCCAACAGCAAATGGAATAGATTGCAACATGTGTCGCAATTGTGCAAAACTAAAATCAATTGCACAGTTGCAAATATGTGCCATATCACGCAAATAGTCAAGAATTGCACTTAGCATACGAGTAGCCGAGATCTCGTCGTGTGACTCATGCGATTCCAACTTGATAGCCGCAAATTCCGATCGGATAGTAGAAGGAAGTAAAAATGTTGTTGTAGTAACGTCAGTAGGCGAAAGTTCGGGCTCGACCTCGTGGAGTGGACGCTCACGTGGCAACAAAATGGGCTCATTTTCAAGTCCAAATGACACTTTTTTACATGCCACAGCGTGTGATGACTCGTCTTCCATAACACATTTTGAAATAGTGCGCTTGAGTCTGTGCGATTGCATGACTTGAATTCGATTGTCGCTTGTTGGGGGAAAATGTGCTCCTTGTAATGAATTTAAGGTCAAGCTGGTACGTTGCCAAGTGAGAACAGACGGTGATTTGAAAGATTTAAAGTGTGAACCACATGAAATAGCAAATGACCCAAAAGTTTTGAGTTGGGGTACCCTTTTGCTTAGTAAAAGGGTGCAATTAATAGTCTTTGAAAGCGAGTGCTGTTTGATCTAGCGTGTCACTACTGAACGTGATGTCTTCATCATAACGTGCTACTCTTTTCAATTTAAAGATTCTATAATACTTATAAAAATGACTTTCTTCCATCTACTCGTGCTATCAATTGAGCGTAAAATTGGGTCCTAAATGCAGAAAAGGTTGAAGCTGGGCATCTTCGTCACCTCGCAAAAAAAGACGAGCCTGTTTCGATTTAAATCATAACAGATCACAAATATTATTAAAATTATGTACTATCTTTTATAAAGTCACGAGTCATGTCGACTCGGCGTGAATCTCTGCTCCTTTATCCATTGCACGACGACACTTTGGCTCTGCGCATTTCTATTTTGCAAACAATACTAAGGGAAGTATTGAAGTCGACAGATTCTGGCTATCGCCTATCCTATAATTGTGTAAATAGTATTCTATTAAGTACCTGCTATGCTAATTTTTAGGCTCACTTTCTTGCCAGTTTACGTAGAAAGCCAGAGGTAACATGACACAAGACCTTGAACTCACTGACATTAAATCATTTTGATTTGTAGTTGGTGCAGTTGACAAAAACACCAGAACTGTATCAATTGGATACTGATAAGGTCATGTAGAATTCGCCACAGTTCTTTCTGATTGTACTATATAGCAGCAGTCCATGGTCGTATTGACTGAATATCTTTGTAATGATCTTGAGGAACCCACGTTGCTTGATTTTGTGCGGAAGTTTTGACGCTTCATACAGCCCAACTTTAATAAGAAGAATTAAATTTGATTTCAAGTTTTATTAGATACTGCAACTTGCCTTACCTGCTTCTGATCAATATTTACAAAGACCTTAGATAAGATTTGAGAGAGAATTTTGGCTCATGGGTATTCCTTAACTTCTGCCGAGGTAAAATGTTACGTTTGTGCTGCAAATCCGTGGACCCGGTACGCCATACTTTCTTTACTTTAGATAACTCAGTAACCAACGCCTACATAAACAGCTTGTGGCGGTATAGGACATTACAATTTTCTTGACACGCAGTGTAGAGCCAGCATACATCATCAACAAAAGTAACGCTTGCTCAGCCAGCTACATCATGATCTTTGAGGTAGCGACTAAAGCTACTGCCAAAACGAACACACTGACCGGCATAGATCGCTTAGCCTGCCGGTTGGGTTTCCCATTCAACGGGGCAAGTTCTGGAATCTTGTGGACTTAACATTTACACATTTGGTAAATTTGAAATTTTCTATGGAACACTCTTAGTGTGATTGTGCATATTCGTTAATACCGAAATGTCGATATTGGTAGAACTACGGAAAGGAGGAGTCCATTGTACATGTGGGTTGCTACCCGCGTGTCAAAAAGCGAAACGGTTCTATTATTGAAATAGCAAATTTGTATATAGTACTTGTCTATTCAGCGTTAAGCCTGAATATATATCTACACTCGTGAGAGCTAACTCGACATCTCGTCATGCTAGAGGCTCTCAGTTCCGCTCCAGGGTGCAGCGCACGAGCCTAATCTCCGTGCAACTGTAAACACAGACTTTGAGGGTCGACGCTTATGCAAAGTTCACGGTGGCCCCTGCATTTGCGGTGTCCATCGCGTCGTGAAAGAATTGGTTTGTTTGCGAGGATGAACATGTTCCTTTTCCAAAGACAAAAATACAAGCTTGATAATCTTATGTCTATCGCCAGTTCCGAAAGAATTCGAGATCTGGCGGTCAAAGAGCCGGAGGCAGCAACCACTCGCATTGGAGCTCATCAGCGCAGAGAATGTGCTAGTGAGGTCGGAAAAACAGATGGTTCCCGCCGTGACGCCGCTGATATCAGAAATTCAGTCTCTTGATACCCTAGACGACAAAATTTACCTCTCGATAAATGAACTTTACCTCAAAATAAAGGAAATTGAGGTGCTTCAGACCGGGCGACAGCGCGTCACGCATGCACTCTTAAAGCTAAGCGCCGCATGCGAGAAAGCGAGCTAATGCGTAACATCTCGGTGAGCAAGGCGTTCCCAACCCGGACAATTCTGAGCGACAGATGGCGCAAATATTTCCACGACCAAACCTGTCGTATCATGTGCTCGACGTATTTGTGCTGGCAGATTATAAATTTAGAGCTCTAAAAGCGGCAATCGAGTTGATTATACCTGAATGCGGCCGCAATTGTCATATTTTGCTAGATTTCCAAACCGACGCGGCTCACCCCGAGACCTTCTGCATTGATTATACCTCTTTCGAGGAAGCAGCGGGCGTCGCACTCAATGCGTAATCTGTGCCGCGCAGACCAGATAGACGCTGAGATTGTAGCTCTATAGCTCTATAGCTCTATAGCTCTATAGCTCTACAGCTTCATTGCTCTATAGTGTTATAAGCGGTCACAGCCGATAGGCTTCAGCCATTTTGAACAGTGGGATCCCTTAGCCGCTGGGCTGTTCAGCGGTACCCGTCGATGTACCACCTGCGAGAATACAAAATATCCGTGTTTTTGCGCTTCCCTTCCGCCCTCGTCAGAGTTATTTGAAGGGTCGGGCTACCACGCAAAGGTGGTTTGCTGAAACTGGGTTCTATAGCACGTAATGGAGATTCTGGTCAATACGACCCAATTTCGCAGAAAGCAAGTCTCTAAACAAGTATGGCTAAATACCCTGTGTTCTTGATTATTAATGTGAACGCGTTAGGCCGTGAGAAGTCTTAGTAATTCTTCAGTAAAGTTTGACCTGCGTTTGTCAAAATCAATTGGCAGTACGCGGAAGCATTGAATATGCCAAGTACGGATAGTGTCCGTGCGTCTCGTAACAGTGACATTTGTTATGTGGTGTAGGCCATGTCAATCCTTAAAGCGATGTTTGAAGTCCTTCACAGCGGTAAACTTTTAGTCCTGTCCTTGATTTGAGAAACAATCTCGCCTTATGTATGTCATCGCAAGAGCGGCATCACTCAATCGGTCAGCTGAAATTTGAAAAGAGGAGGTGCCACGCACATTTTACTGGTGAAACCTTGGCGATTGATGAATTCATCTCTTCCTGGATGCAGATGCGGTTTTGGTGCTGGCACGAAGCTAATAGGGATTCCGTGTGATACATGGGTTAGTTTAAAATTGATGGCAACAGTATTGCTGGGTGCCTTAGCAGAGATCGGAAAGCAGAAGCAACAATGAGCTGATTATCTTTGGCGGGACGGTAAAGAATAGCTGTATGCTAAAGCCTCTTATGACCAAGGTACTGACTGGGTGCCACAATATGTCATGACAGAGCCGGGAGAGTTGAAATGCAACAGTAATTAGCTGGTTGAGGGACTTGGCCTTATAAATAAATGAGTGATTTATCCCTGTTACGATGTGACTGTAATGCTGAATCAGCGTTATCATGTGACGGACCCGTCGTACGAAGCAGCGAAAATCCGCGGGTAAGAAAAAAAAGGTTATTCACCCTTATATTATCAGACGAGGGTATTCCTTGGGGTTGTCTCTCCTCACTACATCCGGCAGAAGCTCTATTAGAGCTGGTAAAACTACCTCTATGTGATTTGTACAAGAAATTGAAAGACAGTGCGGCGATCGAATCACACGACTGACACCAGAGGAGGAGCTGAGGTCGTCATTTTTGATCGATAAAGCTCTAGTTGAGGGCAGTAGCAACCAGTGAGTGCAAGGAATGGGACAGCCATTCTCAAGGAGCCTATGAGCAATTTCTAAAATTTGACGAAGGATAACCGCGGTGACGAGAGGTTCTCACGCGTGTTGTCCCTTAATGGGGTAATGCTTCATGTGATCAACTTAGTCTCCAAAACCAGTAATTGCTTCAAACGACAATGGCCCTTATCAAAAGAGCCCTTTGTCACTATTGACACGGATTTTCGTGCGAAGCACGAAGCAGACTTCGTAAAACAAAAAAAACAACTTTGGCGGCAATAACTTTAGAAAAATAGTCGGCAGGTGGAAATGTTTATGTTTATAATGAAGTAATGCAGCTACAGACTGGCACAAACGCTAAATCCAAGAAAGAATGTGCTGCAATTTAGCATGACCGATTGAACTTTGCTCGCTGCCCTCGATCTAGCTAATAGTTATCATTTACTAATGATGAGTGGCAGATCCCCAATTCAGTGCGGTGAATACTCCGAGTAGGATGCTCTGAAAAAATCCGTTTGAAAGCACAATAATAATAATACATCTATAATACGTCCACAACGTTCAATTTCCAGGTGATACAGCTTTTAAGCCACATCTTGGCTATGCAAGAACCAATTCCGACGATATATTTGTTATTACCATGGAAGTTGTGACCCCCCACATTGCATACCTGCAAAGGATGCTCGACTGTATGCGCATAAATTCGATGTTCGCCACGACGATGAAATTCCCTTCTGGGACTTTGATTGGACAGCAAGACCTGCAAAAACTCCGCAATGAAAAAGTCCATTATAAAATGACCAGCGCCTTTTGCAATGTACTTCAGGAATCAGCTTGACCTCGAAAACTACTTACGCAAGTACAATGCTTATTTCACGACTCCTCACAAAGTGCAATATGATACCTAATGGTGTTGAGGTGCGGTGTAGGGAAGCGGCCTCCAAAGCTGTGACAGTAGACCTCATGCGTACCGCGAGTGTGACTCTTCATAATACAGATCAGTCATTTCACGTTGTCTGTGACGCTTCAGCGTTTTCCCTTTGCGAAAGGTTGTTCGTACTCCGAACAAATGCCAATGGACAATAAAGCAAGATCTTACCAGCTGAAAGGTACCTACAAAATATCCTGCCCAGGAAAAAGAAGTACTTGTGAGAAGTGTCCCTCACATTAATATGCCTATAGAAATTTCAGTACATATCAAGGCAAACGCAATGAGGGGAAGCAACTCGCTCCAGCACTGCGGCCTCTGTGCCCGAGGGTTTTGAGGATATACTCTACCAAGGAAACCCGCGTTTTTCCTGACCATCCGATCGTTGAAAGTCAATTTTGTGCTTGCAGACAGGTGCTTCAACCAGACTGAAATTGTGAGTCACACGATTCGCAATAAGAAAAAGAGGAGAAATGTAGTATATTTTTATAAGGGAGGGAGAAGGAAATGGCTACAATGACTTCTTTCTTCTCGGCATAGTAGCTGTGGCTTACTGACGACGGTAGAAGAAATTAATCCTGGTAGGACAAGAGGAGTAACGGTGACTGCTCTCATCAGAGAATATGCAGCGGGGCTGCCGTAGCTTAGCGCTTGATGAAGCGTAATTTAGGTTACCGACCTTTCGTTCTGTACTTAGAACAAGTACGAGTTAGCGGATTGCAATCCGATTACTCCAAGAGTAATTATTGCCTTACCCAAGGCTAATTAGCTCTTCCGTTTAAAATTCAAAAATGCTTTTTATTTATGTTTTATTCTAATCTTAAAGTTTGGATATTCCTTAATATACGATATAGTAAAAACTAAATACATGCGTAACTACTGACTACCTAGCCCCGTACCGTATTCTTGTTTGGGTGTGGTCACACCATGCACATCTCGTGTGACACGTACCCTATTACCAGGGTATGTGTAACCCCGTTACAGAATACCTCATCTTTCTCACCAAGTAGCTTTCAAGTCGTCGGTCGCAAGGACGCCTTTCTTGGGGGATCAGCAACCTATCAAGTAGCTTAAGAGATATGTCTTGACGCGAATATGTTTGAGATGCAGGAATTGTGGCGTGAAAAAAAGAATTCGTGCGAACAGTAGAATCTAATTGAATGTTCTCGTCACCGCTATGTAATTAAAAAAGGAAAACGCCAGTGCGGTCATCAACGTGGCGAAGCGATAGTATAAAAGGTTACTTACTGAACGATGGTGTGCGAAAGCATAATACGTCTGTGTAATCATACACATGGAGTACAATTTTTCAATACATTTTTGTGACGAATAGTACAAACTAGTACTCAAAAATTGATCGGACTTAGTAGAGGAGATGTGCATCGTATATGTGAGCTGTTAACCTTACCTTACATCAAGCTCACGAACTGATCAGACACTTGGCGACCCCGAGATGACATAAATTCAGATCATCACTATACTATTCAAGCCGGTTAGGCTCCTTTGACGGAATACTTTTTTACAACCTCACTTTGGATGGACTTTTGTGAAAAGTCACTTGAGCGATCGACTCAAGTTCTCGCTATGAAGATTGCATTGTTCTTGCTGAATCGACTATTGGCTGGGCAGGAAAAAATAATAAGGACAGCTGAAAAAACTGTTTTTGTGATTGCTTCTTGCATGACGGTCCACACTTGCGACCATGTATCTCCTGCTTTAAGCAGTTCTCATCACGCAAAAATCTATTCTTGTAGCTTCTTTCTTGACCATCGCTCCAGCGTCCTTTTTCTGGACTTTTAGTGAACGTGATACTGACTTTTTACTGATACAAGTAGTATCGGTAAAAAGTCAAGGTATCACGTTTAAATCATGCTATGATGGTATACTGTTTCGAAGTATCAACATTCGTACTGACTCAGAAATTGGCTCTCTATCGTCTGTAGCCCCATTACTATTAATTGAGCGTACCCTGATACTTCGCCGTACGTCCATTATGTATAGTGAAGTCGTTGCGTCGTCATCACGCGGTATGAAACAGTCAAGCAGTTGCAGAGATCGCGAGGCGTACGAAACAATTCCATGACACACATGGCCGGCAGTATCTTGAGTAGTTGATTGTTGCCGAAAGCAATAATATCCGGTGGATAGAAGATGTTCACAACCCACTATCAACACAAAGCAGACTGTTCGACTGACACGACCATTTCGGCCTAAAAATATTGTCATTCAGAGAGCAAACATATGTACTATCGTGTCGAATCACATACGACATGCTTCGACTAACTTCTACATGAATGTTAACCTACGTAAAGTATAAATTCTATAGCTGGTAACCCATATTCAATCTAAGTATAAACGTCTTCATTTTAAAATGTACCAGAGCTAAACGACAATAATCGACATACGAAAATGTAATTGTAAAATTATCATTATAATGTGGTACACATATTGTAATTTTTTTGTTATAATGTGGTACACATATTTTTGGGTTTTTAAATTAGTGAGTATTAGAGGAAAAAAATCGAACGTATACCGGTATTGAAACAATTCGAAATGACAGACTCTGAAAGCCTAAATTCTCCTCTCATGGATGATATGGTTTCCATGGTTAGTTTGGACGACACCCCCTCGTCAGACCAACAACGCACCCGAGGTTATCATCGACCACCATTAAATGGGCGCTCACGTCGAGTATTGCGTCGGTCTTTGTCGGAGATTGAAACCAGTTATCAGCCAATTGACTGGGCGTCAGACGACGGTGTTCGCTTGGATGGTATTGAGTTACAAGGTTCTGACTCGCGTCGAACTTTAAGCGACAGCATGACAAGTCCTGGCTACTACAATGAAAAAATAAAGAGTCAAGTATTGAATAAGTCTGATCAACCAATACGAAATATGAAGAAGGTGGAATCTAGCAATTTTGATAGTAGCAGAGTATCGACATCAACACCAACGTTACTACATGGAAAGAATATTCTTCAAATTATGGCAATTGATTCGATAGAACCTATTGCTAGATATTCTAATTCTGTTGATTGGTCAGAGAATCTCGAACCAGCGGATGAAGCCGAAGATATGTCCTTAATGGACCCACATTATGATCTCACATCAGCGAGAATGATTAAGTTATTTTCACTGTTTCATCCAGCAGGTAAAAATGACTGGCTAGATAAGAAAGAGGAGAGGAATTTAACTTTGTATTGAATATGTTACGGCAGAAAATGGGATGGTATCGTATCAAGGTTTTCGAAGTGGATTGCAGGCCATGGGAATCGCGTGTGGTAACGATGAACAGTTTCAAGCTTTTATTGACAATGTTGATGATGATAAGAGCGGAGGAATTACTTATCAGGAGTTTCTCTACGCGATTCAGGAGATAAAACTCGCACAGCTTTTTAACGAGAAGTTCTTGAAAAACATTCCACCTGAGTATATTAATGTGAAGCGAAGCAAGGCAAAAAAGGCTTTATTGGGGTCGATTGAATATTCTCCGGATCGAATACGCAGCGTGTATCCAATTGACAATGTGCAAAAGTTTATTTACTCTACTAGACCAAGCTGGGCTACCGTACGATGGATCAACATTGAAGGAATTGATTCACTTTTGATGAGACGTTTATCAGTACGGTATTTTCTTCATCCACTAGCTATCGAAGATACGCTAGATGCAGATGTCGAGCGTCCAAAGTATGAAGAATACGATGAACATTCCTCGCTAGTATTGCAAACGATACATGCACGTGATTTATCGATGGTAAAGAATTACCAGCGCATGTATCGTGCTTCACTTTATGTCCAAGATGGTGACAAATCTCCTTTTGAAGATATGACTAAAAAAGAGCTTGAAGAACGTTTGGAGCAACTCAATATTGGTTGTGTCATGACAGCACCCCAGCAACTCAGTTTGTATATTCTAAAAGATGTTTTAATCAGCGTACAAGAACACCCAAACACTCTTTGGTCAGTGCTAAAGCAGCGACTAGATCGATCCTATTCAAAGGTTCGCCAGCATGGAACAGCCTTCTTGGTGTATACTATTGTCGACGTTTGCGTCGATGAGCTGACACCAATTACACATACGTTTGGCTCAAAATTGATCATGCTCGAGCGATTGCTTAGCCTCGATCCTCGCTATTTTGATATCAGTCGACTAGCAATGTGTTCAAAACAAATCAAAGGACTTCAGGTACTTTGCAAGCCTATAAGTGAAGTAATTATCCAACTTTCAGAATCTGAAGAGTTTGAAGGCGAATCTGTACGTTATTTTCGTGATGTTCTCGACCACATTACAACAATTGAAGAAGATTGTGTCCGTCATCTGGACCGATGTCGCAGTCTTATTGATGATTTCCATAATGCTCGAGCTGCTCAACAGAATGATGTCACGTACATTCTTGCACTTGTTGCTGCCGTGTTTTTACCCGCGCAGTTCTTAACTGGACTTTATGGAATGAATTTCACTAACATGCCTGAACTTAGGAATCAAAACGGCTACTACATCTGGTGGGCTGTTGTCCTCGTTTTAGCTTTTTCTACTGTCGCCTTTTTTAAATTTTACAAAAAATGGCTCTAAAGGATATATTGTAATTTTCTTTAGTGAGGGTAGCTAGTTCCAGATGTGAGAATAGAATCGATCATCTTGAAATAAGCTAAGATTTCATACAACAGAAAATTGCCTCGCTTTCAATATCTTTTATCGGAGAGCTGTACTTTTTATCAGGCAACAGACCATGGACTTGGTTGGATATTAGATAGTCAGAGGCAGCGAGTATTTTTTGTTGTTAACAATGACTTCTGCTGCCAAGTGCACCAAAATCACCTTATTTTGACAGAAGATGTTGGGAATGACCGGATCCAGCCTAAACCAATGCCCTAGCTCTGCCTAGACTTACATTCCAAGGCTGTTGACACCTTAAGCATCACTGAAGGTTTTGTAGAGCAAGATATCTAACTTCCCAAAGTTGAGCACCCAACAGAGGCGGGAATGGCTTTTGCATGTGAGTTTACTTACAATAATACAAAGAGGGTGACTTTACTTGCTGATTGTTACAATCTAGTTCGTCAAGGCAGAAGAGACTGTCTCTACCACAAGTAGCATCATCATCAGCCAAGCTGCAAGAGCTATGAGGAGCGTCTATTTACTTCTCTTCCGCTGGAGTTACCAGAAGAGACTGTCGCTGCCACTAAGAGTGTAACGGGGTTTCACGTGCCTTGGTATGAAGGGTGCCAGGAGTTATACATCTAGCTAGGTTTTACGATAAATGTAGGAGGCTTTGCTAACCGAAAAAAGGAAGTTCACGCTTTGAACGGAAGAGCCAATAAGTCTTGGGTTTAGATTGCAATTACTCTTGGAGGAGGTGGATTGCGATTCGATACGCTTCTACTGGTCATAAGTATAGAACGAAGGTGATCGACCTAAACCAATTTTTTTTTCCTCTAAGCGAAAGAGCTTCGGCGGCCCGCTGCACTTGGTAGCAATCTTAGTCAATCTACACCCGAGTCGTTACGACTGGCCCTCTGTGAGGATGGAGCAGTTCTCTAGTATGCAAGACGGACTAAAAAGCTGATGTCTTTGCATGGCATTAAGGGCGTGCAATGGAGCGATCAGCGCCTAGAGGCATTTTTAAGCTATGAAAATGCTCTGCTAGAGTACCTAGAGCAGAAATTGTCGGCTTCGACTGCGTATGTGACGCCACCGTCAACGACGAATGAATTTCCCCCCAATCCAAGCCGTTCTTGGTGAGCATTGAGACTTTCGAGGGCAAGAATGGAGAGAATCTCTTGCTTTGGGTGAGAGAGATCGAGATGGCCATGGAATCCGCCATGCTCCAGACCGAGCAACAGCGCGTGGCGCTAGCTATCTTCAAGCTCGGTGGTCGAGCGCGAGAATGGGCAATGACGTGCGGCACTTCGATCGAAGAGCTTTTCGTTGCTCAAGCTCAGCTTTTGAAAAAGCTGGGGGTTCGACTACGTAGACGCCCAACGATCGAGTAGTCTCGTCTTTCCCTTCAGTAGCAAGATCCGCCGAGCGAAAATTGTATCCCACGCGACGGTTACGGACCGATTGTGGATGCGACCACATAAGAGGCGCCCTGTGTGCAGCCTCCAACCGCTGCTCCTGTGCCTAGTCGAGACGATTGGTAATCAATACCTCCCTTAGAATTCGAGAGGTCGGGAAACAGACACGGCGTCCGAAAGGTTTGAGCAAGGCTCACGTCGCGCCGTTGGCGCACCTCGCCCGCCTCTTCTTCCCACCCTGGGAAAGAAGTATCCTACTCGTTGTCGACTGCCTTTGAATCCCGAAGAAGAAATCCGTTGCTTGTAACATGCGCGATTTGCGGTGCCCGGTTTTTGAGGGCTTGCGATGTGCTTCCCGTGAAGCCACGGACGTGCTGTCCGTAGTTTCACCACCCGCAGGAGACGAAGTGGGGCTCTACCCGTAGGCAAAATTGAAACTAGCCAAGTTCTTTTTTTCGTGTCATTGACACAGGGCTCATCGAGCAGAGAATGCGTGATGGTGGTCCTAAGGACGTATAAATGACTAAGACGCGCGAGCCTCGTACGAGGCGACAGGTAAATGTGAATTGTGGGGACTCACAGTTTTGATGGGGGAGAGTGTAACGGAGTTACACGTACCCTGGTATACAGGGGTGGGTCACACAAGATGGTTGAACCTCACAATGGTGTGGTCACACCTTAACAAAAAAACACTACATTATTTAATCAGGAAAAACTATATATTTGGATATAGAGGCTCTGCCGTAAATAAAACAAAAGAGTTACAGTTAGAATTTTAAAAAATAGTGGATTTGCTTTGGCTTAAGGTTTTGGTACTTTTGAAGGTAGCGAATTGCGATCGGCTACACTCATACTGGTTCTAGAGTAGAGCGTAAAGTCGGCGACCTAATTTTAGCTTCCTCTTAGCAAAGAGCTACGGCAGCCCCGCTGCGCGCAATATGTCCAGAATTGAAACGTATTTACTAAAGCGGATATTTTTTAGGTGCCAGAAATTGAGTCTACTCGACTGAAAGTCATTTTATTCGTATGAAAGATGAGTTGAAAAAAGCATATTTAAACGTTTTGCGTTCTTGTCATAACTGAATTTTGAGCGCAATACAATAGGATCGTACCCTGATTTTGGGATAGCATGGATTTTATTCTTTTTAACGATTTCGCACCGTGGAATGCATAGAGCTCAGTAGCAGCCGATTCTTAGACTGCGGCAAAGAGACAGGAAAAGTGTTTCATGTAAGGGCAGGAAATTAAACTCACTTGAAACAGAGGTGCAAACTGTAGACGTACAGCATTCTTTGCAATACTAATGAAAAAGTGCCAAAAGAAGGGTAACCCGAGTCTTTTATAATGTTTGTGGTCAGTACAGATAGTGATACAGCCTTGATCCTTAACTCCAACGGTAGAAATAGTTTGACAGTATAAGAAGATCTCTGTTAAAGTAAAGGGATCCCATCAAACAGATAAGCTGGACCCTGATGTTTTTATCGATTTTGCTGCTGTAAAATTTAACGCTTTTGCAGAATTCATAATGGATCATCACTTTTGCAGTCTTCGAACAGAATCATCACTGTCCATTTCAGTGCACATATATTACAATGTTATCCCTCGACAGAGTTCAGATATACCATGAAAAAGTACTCGATACGGATGAGAGGTATGGTGCTCCAAACAACTGAGGACTTTTAGAGACGTGTGCTGCTGGCCTCGTGACATGTGTTACATTCGTTTTTGGTTTATTAAATAAAGCAGCTACATTAAGTGCAAAAATTGAGCTAACCATTAATCTAAAAATATTACGTAGAACTTGAGATGCTCTTTTGCTTGGCTTCTAGACAGCACCCGGTGAGCAAAGCATCCTGTGTGTGAAATAATGCCACAGCATATTATCATGCTGCGCTTGTAGATCGGCGACCGGTTCTAAGTAAAACTGTATTGATGTGAGAAAGTAACAGGATCTGTCCTGCGGACAGCATAATACGCTAGGAAATTTTCTGCCTCCAGGTGACCCCACGGGGATAGCACAATCGGGAGTCTTATGGTCTGAAGCGACTATTATTTGACTGGAGACGCTCATAAACTATAAATACTTACTAGTGAGATATATCCAGGCCTAAAAAACAAGCGTCAGCAGGTGCACAACATACCTCCATCATGAGACTATTTCATATACGATCTATTATTCTCTTGAATATGAGAGGTTGAGGTTGCCATGTATTTTATCTGCTCGAGAAGAAGCAACAACAAATTCGCGCTTCTACGGTCTCTAAGCTTGATGTCACTTGCGAAAATGGCGTAATCGTGCGGCACTTTGGGGATGAGGCATCTCCAACGGATGAGACATTTCAAACTGATAAGGCATTCTCAACAAATGCGGCGTTCCCAACATGAAAATTGTTTATGCTCAGTGTCTTTCTGTTTTTGGCACCGACGACTAAGAGTACATTTTAGGTAGTTCAAACACGCTCATGCACGTCTACAAACGCTTGAAATAACTTGTAATGTGATATCGCAGCTGATGACAACGTCACGAACGTATGAGTGCGTTAGCCGTTGTCGCTGTGTCTGTATTTGATGCGTCTAGATAGTTCAAACACGCTGTAGCACATCTGCAAACGGCTAGCAAAATAATACTTACTCGCCAGGAGAAGAAATTTAGCAATATATTTTTCATCAGCTTAAAATGTTTACTGAAATTGCCACAAGCCTCTTTCGAAAATTGTAAATGGAACCTTTCTTAAGGATCTCTGTACCATTTCGACTCGCGCAGGCGCAATTTGCATCCATTCATCCACATTGAGCGAATCTGTAAGTGTTGCACTTATTGCTTGAAAGCAGTAAGGTCAGCTTTAAGTGAGTGAAGTACCTATGATCACGCCAGAGCTTAAGACTTTAGCTCATCGAGGAGAAAGAAAGGAAAGTTATGCTGCTACGATGCGTGGCGATACACTCAGATGGTACATCGGAAGGACTACCAAACATCTTCAGCCAATCAACTCCACCATGAGAAATGAGTTCCTCCGTTAGTGCGGGACAGCCTACTGGGGAAGAATCGAGCTCAGTTGTACCGCGTGGAGTTGATTCTAAAAGCAATAAATTTTAATTGGTGGAACGCTTTTTGAAAAGAGAGGGGTGCTCACCGTCCAGAGATGCTGGCGGCTTATAGCTAAGTCTCGTGCTTTGTGAAGCCATGGAATTTCTTGATAGAATCTCAGATGGGAACTATCGATCGGACGTTGAGGTCTCGGAGTGTATCATTGTAGAGACGGGAATTGAGGCCCACATGTTGCACCCTCTGGGTGTACCTTGGATCTGCGATCGCATGTCGCGGTCTCCACAGCACATATCTGCGTAGTAGAGAAATTGCAACTTTTTGTTGCGGCCTCCATGGCCAATCTGGTCTAGACGGATGATTTTGATTATGTTCTGGGATTCAGATGAAATTGATTTGGTTGGAGCGAAAGAGTGAATGTAGGTCGCGAGATAAAGGACTGTGTCCTGGTGTCAAAATGATGGCTCATCATTGCCACCGTGTGGCGATACAAGTCAATCAACAACACC